CTAGGCCAGGCTTCCTCAACCTCGGCCCTTCCGATGTTTTTGACCTACAACTCCCATGATCCCTAGCTAGCAGGACCAGTGGTCAGGGATGATGGGAATTGTAGTCTCAAAACATCTGGAAGGCCAAGGTTGAGGAAGCCTGAACTAGGCTGTCAATCCTCATTCTACCAATCATCAGTGCTTTTCTTCTACAAAAATGTTTAGGGGTAATTTCATTTTCCTACTCATATTGAAATACTGCCCCTCAATGAGGCCAAACTTAGATTCACAAATGTTTGGGGTATGTGTACCCTTGCGCCCCCCAGAAAAAAGCACTGTCAATCACCATATTTCTGGTTTATATAACAGGCAATCTACTACCCACATGTGGCAGCTGATGAAAGGCCTAGGGTTGGGGGGGGGGGAGGAGAAAGAGGAATGTGCCTTTGTTGTTATTTAGTTATTTAGTCGTGTCCAACTCTTCGTGACCCCATGGACCAGAGCACGCCAGGCACTCCTGTCTTCCACTGCCTCCTGCAGTTTGTTCAAACTCATGCTAGTAGCTTCGAGAACACTGTCCAACCATCTTGTCCTCTGTCGTCCCCTTCTCCTTGTGCCCTCCATCTTTCCCAACATCAGGGTCTTTTCTAGGGAGTCTTCTCTTCTCATGAGGTGGCCAATGTATTGGAGCCTCAGCTTACTGACTCTTATACTGAGTCAATTGGACCAGGTCCACCCAAATCAATACCTTCTGCACTGACAGTGACTCTCCTGGGTTTCAGGCAAGGGACATTCCCAGTCCTACCTGGAAATGTCAGGGGTTGAACTTGGAACCTTCTGCATACAAAGCAGCTGCCCTACCACTGAGCTGCAGCCCTTCCCTGAATTGTCAATCACCTGGTGAGCCAAAACCCTTGGCTGGTGGGCTGCAGTTGGGTTGGTAAAACAAGTTGTTCAGGTCTACCATATTTGGTGGTGGGGGGAACCTTTGTTCTGTCAGAGCCACTTCAATAAAAGCACAACTGTTTGTGACAAACAGGCCAGTATATAAAGCTGAACTGGCACCTCAGTTTTGTTTGTTTTGTTTTGTGTTTTTCTGCTATGGGTAGCCTAAGCTACTAAAACACTTCTGGGTCAAAACTCAGCTGGCTGCACTTGTAAGCAAGAGTGGACAGAAAAATACAAGGTACAAGGAAGGGTATTCAAGGAAATTGCAAAATAAAACTGCTTCTAATAAATGAAAATAGAGGACCTAAATTTAAAAAAGCAACCCCAACCTCACTCCCCCCCCTCCAAAAAAAAAGTTTTGAAATACATCAAGCACAGTTACATACCAAGTATGCATCTTTGGCCAAAAAAACCAACAACAGCAGGATTTCAAAAAGCTAAATACCTGTATTTAATTAATCTGTATCATCAAGGCACAAAATTTTAGTAGTTCCTTTGGAATGCTGTATGTTCTACTGAGCTACAACAGATGCAACGTTGTTCTCTCTTATATTCAGCTTTACATGAAATGCCTGCTCTCTGTTTTTTAATGTATTGCCTTTCTTCAATTCAACCAGTTTGCCTATGTACCTTTTAGCTTTATTGTTAAGTCTTTTATCATCTCATTTCCTCCGCAGCTATTCATTTTACTACCGTTTATTCTTCTACCCCAGAAAGCCTATGCTGCCAAATAAACATGTGCATGCATACATATGCACATGCAAGTGCATGGGCCGAAGAGTATTCTTGCACTTTCTTACGTTTTTAAGACTTTGCAGCTCCCTTTCCCCTAGGCAGCCTTGGGCAGGCTGGAAGCAGTACAGTAGCATTCAATTAACCCAGCCTAATATTCCACAGCTGCCTCCATCAGAACAAGAAAACACAAATATGATGCAAGACAGGTCACGTTTTGATACGAGCACAGCTCATATTGAAACGTGGCCCTTTTCAATATTTTATAAGGCAGGAGAAGATATAAAAATGGGACACTCTTGAAAGTTGGTTTTCAGCTTCCCAGCACAAAGAAATGGCACCTCGCTGATTATTGCCAGAAAACAACAGCCCCTGTGTGAGAAAGCCCTGCTAAAGCTTACAGTGAGATCTGAAAGCAGCATCCAAGATTTAAGAACAGCAAGCAGCGCCACCCAGTGGTTAAATGCATTCTGAATTTTTAGCCCGAGTCAGGGCTGCCATCCTAATTATAGAGCAGAAAAATCTTTCATCTACTTATAGAGTCAGGAGGATGGGCTGCTGAAAAAGTTGTGAAGTGCCCAGGCAAAAAATAACACAACCGGGGCAGGGAGGGGGAATGTAAAACTCAGAGGGGCACTAGGTAGGTAGGTAGGTAGGTACAGTAGGTAGGTAGGTAGGTAGGTAGGTATAAGTGAAACAGCATCAACTAATTTAACATTCCCTTCCCCTGCTGCCCCTGTAATCCAAACACCTCTCAGAGTTCAGGGACCAGATTCTGTGTTTTCCAAAGTCTCTTCAGCCAAAAAGGAGAATTCCTTGATACAGTGGTACCTCGGGTTAAGAACTTAATTCGTTCTGGAGGTCCGTTCTTAACCTGAAACTGTTCTTAACCTGAAGCACCACTTTAGCTAATGGGGCCTCCCACTGCCGCCACTACACCACTGCCACACGATTTCTGTTCTCATCCTGAAGCAAAGTTCTTAACCCAAGGTACTATTTCTGGGTTAGCAGAGTCTGTAACCTGAAACGTCTGTAACCTGAAGCATCTGTAACCCGAGGTACCACTGTACTGTACAGAGTTGAAGGAGGAGATTTTAATTGTGAAACCAAAGACGAAACCAGGCCCTGCTTCACTACTGTTCAGGGGGCCAATTTTGGCAGATTCTAGCCAGCTATCCATTTATTTCATCTCAGCCCGTAGGTGTATTTAGCAGAAGATCTACCCTTATTGTAGTAATGAAACAAAAGGGCAGTCCCTGCCAGATGCAACATCCTATACTCCACAGCAGATATTCAAACACCCACAGCAGGGATAGGGAACCTGCATCCCTCCAGACTTTGTTGGACTCCACTTCCCATCAGCCTCGGACAGCAGGGCCAGTGATCAACGATGATGGGAGTTGTATTCCAACAATATAGGGAGAGCCAGAGGTTCCCCAGTCCTAGGAGAAGCCCACAAGCAAGACAAAGAAACAAGCCTTCTCCCACAGTTGTTTCCCAGATACTGATGGGTAGTTCGTCTTCACACAGCTTCCTAAAAGCCTAGTCAAGCCTCCTCTTATGCTGTACTGCAGGGCTGGCCAACATGGTGCCCTCTATACCATCAAATTGTGGCATTGGAAGAGACCGCAAGGGTCATCTAGTTCAAACCCCTACAATGGAGGAATACGCAGGTGGCCCGTATGGGAACCAAACTCATGGCTTTGGCGTTATCAGCACCACACTCCAGCCAACTGAGCTGAGTTATGGGACTACAATTCCCATAATCCACAATGGTTAAATGGTGTCTGTTTTTACCCTCTTTTTTGTATGGTTTTTATGGCATGCTTTATGTATTCCAGGGACGCAGGTGGCGCTGTGAGTTAAAGCCTCAGCGCCTAGGACTTGCCGGTCGAAAGGTCGGCAGTTCGAATCCCCGCGGCGGGGTGCGCTCCCGTCACTCGGTCCCAGCGCCTGCCAACCTAGCAGTTCGAAAGCACCCTCGGGTGCAAGTAGATAAATAGGGACCGCTTACTAGTGGGAAGGTAAACGGCGTTCTGTGTGCTGCGCTGGCTTGCCAGATGCAGCTTGTCACGCTGGCCACGTGACCCGGAAGTGTCTGCGGACAGCGCTGGCTCCCGGCCTCTAGAGTGAGATGAGCACACACCCCTAGAGTCTGTCAAGACTGGCCCGTACGGGCAGGGGTACCTTTACCTTTTACCTTATGTATTCCTGCTGTGAACTGCTTCAATATTCTTCTCCTTGTGTTATAGCAGTATTTAAATCATTAAATAGTATCTGTGCATTGGCCATGTTGGTTGGGATGACGGGATTTGTAGTCCCACAATTTCTGGAAGTCACCATGTTGGCTATCCCTGATCTACTTGTCCTGCCTTGATGGAGAAGTGTTCAAAATGGCAATCTGTGCTCTGGATGCCTCAGCTTCAAGCCTCATGCAGGTACCAGAGGAGAGCCATAGCTCCCTACATCAAGTAGATTATGACATATTATGAGCAGAGAGGGAAGGCACAAGCAACATGGTTTCTTGAGGCAGGTATCTTCGCTTGCTTTCCTCATGGACTAGCAATACAACTTTGACACCCTTCTGATCCATAAAAGGTAAAGGGACCCCTGTCCGTTAAGTTCAGTTGTGGACAACTCTGGGGTTGCAGCACTCATCTCGGTCTATGGGCATACAGCTTCCAGGTGATGTGGCCAGCATGACTAAGCCGCTTCTGGCGAACCAGAGCAGTGCACGGAAATGCCGTTTACCTTCCTGCCAGAGCGGTACCTATTTATCTACTTGCACTTTGACATGCTTTCGAACTGCTAGGTTGGCAGGAGCAGGGACCGAGCAACAGGAGCTCACCCCGGCGTGGGGATTTGAACCACCGACCTTCTGATTGGCAAGCCCTCAGCTCTGTGATTTAGACCACAGTGCTAAAAACCAAAACAGATTCCAGTGTGACTATAAGCAGGCAGAGGTGTTTAAGCAAATTCTCATTTAGTCACTGTGTTCCTGTCAAAGATGTGTGGGATTATGCCGGGACTCAATCAATGCTTTTTAAGTTGAGTATAATTTGTCATGGAATTGAGACCTGATATTACATTCAAGTTTCAAATCCCATAGAGGGAAATGGCGGATTTAAAAACTGAATGGTTACTGGAATTGGAATTGGAGCTACGATGAAAATTGACTGAGCCCGATATAACGCAGTAGATGTGCTTAGTAGCAATGAACTGACAGGCGACTTTTCTTCTTGGTATTTCTGAAATGCATTAACTATTCAAAACAATTCCATTCCTATTTCTCATCTCGACTATCTGGAGTTTTTTATACAGTATTTAAAAAAAAATCTTACCTCAAATATGATGAGCACATAAACACCTGCTAAAATGACTGAAGCAATTTGTGACTTGACCTCTACATTTGCATGAAGATATTGATGAGTCATGGAAAGAGGAACGGTTTCCAATTCCTGGAGAAAAGCTTGAATACTTATGGATGTTTCTTTACTGCTGAAAGATATAAAAAAAAACCCAACAACAACACTGTTTGACAGAACGAAGTGGAAATGCTAGAAAGCATCATCATATTTTTTTTACACTTTACTTTCAGATAGCTTTCTCGAAGCTATTACAGGCAACATCATGACTTAAACTGAGATCATAAAATATTAAGAATTTGATTTAGTTCACTTTCACAAATGATGCAAACACCTCTTAGTCCAGAACACAAAACTTCTTAAAGTCACAAATGTGGGAGAGAAGTCATACAGAAAATGCAAACGCATACATACACTTTAAGCATCACTCATGAAGATAGATTTCTTTTCTTTTTCTGTTACCTGAAGCATTTGCTATTATTGGGTTAGGGAAATAGAAGAAGGTGCCTGGGTGGCAAATCTTCTTCCCAAGAGGAAGAACAGTGGGGGAAAGGTCCCATAAGACAGGGTTCTGCTCCAACTCGTTACCTGGACTGAATTCCCTCTGAAGCAGGCTTCCTCACCTCGGGCCCTCCAGATGTTTGTGACCTACAACTCCCATGATCCCTAGCTAGCAGGACCAGTGGTCAGGGATGATGGGAATTGTAGTCTCAAAACAACTGGAGGGCCGAGGTTGAGGAAGCCTGCTCTGAAGAGTTGCTGTACATATGATTGGATGGAATATTATGGCTGTGCAGTAGTATTATGCAAAAGTGAAAGCCATGAGTGAAATCCAGTGGCACTCTGTGAGATGCAATGAGATTCCCCTTCAGTACCTCTCTTCCTCAACCTCTCACACTTCTTACAATCTACTCTGGATGATGATCCCCCAACTCTCCAGAACAGATTTTGGGGGTACAGAACAGATTGCTACACAAGGAGGTTCATTGTGCAAGCAGGGATCCACAATTGGATATCCCCCACTGTTTCCATGATTTGAGCACCTAGTAAATTAACATTAAAAAAAATATCAAGTGGTTTTTTCTGGATTCACAAACCAACCTGCTTAACATCTCAAAGGTTCGTGACACAATAACTTGTTCGTTTTTTCTCAGATTTAAAGGCAGGGTCCAATTGTATAAGATCTGCAAAAAAAGAAAAGATAGCATGAATAAATTACAGGTTAATGCTGTTGCTTGATTTCCACTACCACAATGTATTTTTACGAGTTGCTAATTTGATGGGGGAGATTCTTTATAAATGGACATTTTCGGATAACTTTTCAACCACTGGGTGTTATTCAGCTTTTTGTGCTATCACAAGGATTATTGTTAGCACAAAGGGAGATACAGTGGTACCTCAGGTTAAGTACTTAATTTGTTCTGGAGGTCCGTACTTAACCTGAAACTGTTCTTAACCTGAAGCACCATTTTAGCTAATGGGGCCTCCCGCTGCTGCCGTGCCGCCAAAGCACGATTTCTGTTCTCATCCTGAAGCAAAGTTCTTAACTTGAAGCACTATTTATGGGTTAGCGGAGTCTGTAATCTGAAGCGTATGTAACCTGAAGCGTATGTAACCCGAGGTACCACTGTACAAGGTACAGAATGTCAAAGGGCCAAACACATATGCACGTTCATTAAACATCTGGTTTTCTTGCTGCTCTATAAAACACGGGTGAGGTCTACCTTTTATATCAAAAGCAGCATGCAGGGGAGAGGAATGAACCCTGACCTCCTCTGTTTTAACTTGACACCATGAAAGTAACTTTTTCCCAAGTCTGGAAGTGAACTAGGCTGGAGAACAACATCTTAACAAAGCCAAATATGGTGATGAGGTACAGCAAGGGTGATGAGGTACAGTTCCCAGGATCTGTTGGGGGAAGCCATGGCTGGCAAATGGCCATAGGAGGGCTTTAGGCATATAGCGTGCAGATGTGACCATAGTTAATGGCTTGTTGCAAATGTGCTAATCTCAGCTACGTTGCTCCTCCCAGTGACATAGCGTGGGTTGCCAATGTCCAGGGGCACACAGAGGGTGGGTGCGAGGGAAATGGACAGGGTGTGCATGCACATTCAACTACCTAACAGCATCCACATCACCTAGGAGATTGCAGCCACAGAGGTAAAGGAAGAAGAGCTGTTCCGTTGTCTGGAGAAGCTACTTCCTGGTCTGCACGGAGAAGCCATTTTGACAGAAGCGCACAGAGGCAGCGCTGGGTGTTGAAATTTTGCACCCCTAACAATCTTGCACCTGGGGCAACTGCCTCTGTGTGCCCCCTGCTACGCCACTGACTCCTCCTCGCTTGTGTGTGGGAGAAACAAAACCATGACCCCTGGCTTAGAATTCTCTCCAAAGCAGGAATCATTGTTTGTTTCGTGCAAGCAGTCCATGATTAGCGAGCAAAAAACAAACAAACCTTGGATACAGAACACACAAACCTTCCTCTGAAATAGGTATAGATTTCAGCCTGCCCTGCACTGTCTTGCAAAGGGAGTTTAAACATAATAGTGAAATAAGAACGATTTCCTTTTGCCTTATGACTATAAAATGAAAGCAGTCCAGGGTATTTGAACTTTACCTGCTGCTGACGTCTCCTTCTTGGACCAGAGTCTTCTACCTGTCCAATCTGAACTACAACATAATCCTCTGGTTGCCGACCAGCCACATCTGCCACAAAGGGCCCTGCCAGTTCTACTTTTAGAAGGGCAGAATCGCGAATATTGCTGAAGTTCATAGCTGTTGGCAAGACAGTTAAGGACTGCAATTTTGTCTCTGAAGGGAAGAGCCTTTGGGGGATTATCTCATCCATGATGCCACAATTAAAAACAACAGCAGTGCCAGCATTCTACAGTAATGCCAACTAATTCAACATGGCTTGAATACCTATGTAGCTAAGAGGTTGAAAAACCAAAGAGCTCTCATTTCAAAGGATTCAAAATAAGAACATCCTAAAAGGCCTATATAAAAACATGCTATGCCAAACCTTATTGACCAGTCCTTGATGAATGGATATAAACATTTAAAGCATGTGTTTTCAACCTGGTTCTCGTGTTATTGGAATCCAACTAGAGATCATTTGGAAGGATCATTTTCAGTTTCGTCCAATGTTTGTTACTTGCAGCACTGCTTCCATTCCGCTGCAATTCATCTTCCTTCAAAAACTATGCTATTTGTCTTGCTGTCTGCTGCGTTAAAATTACATACCTTATGTAATTTCCATAATTGATTCAGTAAATTATGTAATTGCATAGTCATTACATTGTTCCACCCCATCCATTTCAGTGCAAATGAAAAGCAATGCAGATTCGGGGGTGGGAATATAATTATGTATCATTTGCAGATTATAAGCAATGACAGTGAACACATACCCTCCAACATTTCTCCAATGAAAATAGGGACGTCCCATTCCATAATGATAATTTTAATATTTATACCCCACACACCTTACTGGGTTGCCCCAGCCACTGCAGGCAGCTTCCAACATATATAAAAACATAATAAAACATTTTTAAAAAATTACAATCCCTATACAGGATTGCCTTCAGGTGGCTTGGGGGTTGGATAACTCCATACCCTCCAACATATCTCCAACGAAATAGGGACATCCTACGGAAAAGTGGGACATTCCAGGATCAAATCAGAAACTGGAAAGGTTTCTCTAAATCAGGGACATCCCTGGAAAATAGGGACACTTGGAGGGTCTGTGAACACTACTCGTATTCTCCAGATTCATTTATATCACAGACATGAGACAAGTAGGTGAACACTGGCAATTTCCACTCCCATTTCCATTTTTGTCAGAATTCTCCAACATGCCAAACTCCAGCTCCCACCAGTCCCAGCCAACATGGCCTTAAGCTCCTGAGAGTGAAAAGTGGGGTATAAATGTCAAAAATAAAACCACCAGCTGTGTGGAGTGGAGTCTGATGATGCATGTCCCAAGGTTGCCTAAATGAGACAAAAAGCAATTTAAAACAGTCTCTTCCTTATTGAGCTATATTGCTAGTAAGTGATGCTTTTTAAAGTTTTCAAGCTATTTATTTTGCTTCTTCAAGCCAAAAAAGATCAAAACAATATCCACTATGAAACCCCATGATGTTAGCCTGGGTGAGAAAATTAGTATAGCAATAAATTCCAAACAGTCCTATCTGAATTTCACTGAGTCCTTATTTGGACAATAATATGGTGGGAAATCATTCTGTTATTATCATTTTTTTATGTCACCTCTTTTCCATTATATTCAATAAAATCTGTTTAAAAGTATCACCAGAGGAGTGTGGAGCACAGAATTAGACTGTATATTTAAAGCATATATAATGCACACACATTTTATATAAAGCTATGCACTTTAAATGTATGATGTAGATGTAGTCATGTATTTTCATTCTGAAAAATTGAATTGCTATATAAAAAAAAGATTAAGAATGCAGCCAGGCAGTAATAATTATACCCATTTTGAAAAACTGTCCACTATAAAAGTTTAATCTTGCAATATTTAAGAGGGGTAGGAATAATTGCTATATTTTCCAGGGCCATATAAGTTGGAGACTACACGGTTCAAATCCTATCTCAGCTTTGAATTGTGCTTCAGAATGGTTCACTGGCCTATATTAATTAACCTAATGGCCTGGGACACTTTGACAGCCTGTAGCCAGTTTTATGAGTACAGCCAATAATTTGTATCTGCAAAAAGCTTCAGGTGCACATAATTACAGCCGCTTCCTTTTTCACAATATGACTAAAATATACCCTGTAATTACACAAATGGCACGTTCAGAAACCATAACAAAGGAAACTTAAAATTACAGAAGGAAAAGCAAACTTCATTTTCACAATGTCTTACACATATAAAACAAAGTGGTCAATACAGAGTGAGCTGAAAGCTCTTACCTTGTAACACATATAAAATGGTCTGACCTTTGCAGACCTACTTTGAAATGCTTAACCAGTAGGCCCATTGTTAAGTGTTAAATGAGACAAGCTTAGGATTGCCATAGTTCAAAAAGTTAAATTCCTGTTACCTGCAAAGTTGTTGAGCTTTTCCATAATCCGGGTTTTCCCTGGCATTTTGCCACTTCGGCAAAATTCCCCCTGGCGCCATTTTTACACCCGGAAACCAGGACACGTCAGGAAAATTCCTGACATATGGCAAGCCTAGACAAGCTTAACTAGCTTCCACATGCAAGTGGCTCGTGCAAAAGCATCAATCTCTCTGTGTGTAAATGCATATGCAAATTCTTCCGCACCTCTAATTATTTCTTTTCAGTACATTGTAATTCTGCACAATTATTCAGACAGGGTTTCACAAAGAAAGGTGAACGATGTATTGTTTTGCATTCATGACACTATGAGACATAACTTTTGCATTCCCCATTGTCCTGCTTCCTTATAACCCCAAGATATTTAAGCTCCTCTCAGACCTTCACACATGGAGGGAGGGAACAGGATCCTACATGGTGTCCCTGCACCTTTACTTTGACATATTCAGCTGAAGGGCTGGATACAACCTATGCATACATCACTGTGTATGGTGATTAGATAGATAGATAGATAGATAGATAGATAGATAGATAGATAGATTGCGGCCATTGGCCCATGTCGAAAACAATACATCAAAATTTATCCATAAACAATACAATTTAAACAGTTCCAAGTTAAAACACCCATATAAAACCAATTTTACTTCAGTTAAGTAAACACTATAACCAATAAGCTAGGTAAACCGCAATTCAAATCCATCAGATTTTGGAGGGTATGCGTCTTCGTTCTGGCACTTATTGATGGTTCTTAAGTTTAGCTAAGCTGTCAGAGTCATACAGTGATCCATTTCTCCTCTTTTGAAATAAAACATTAATCAGGTATCTAGCGACTGCAAGGGATCTACTTGTATCTTCGTCGTTTAATAAGTATATTATTTGGGCTTCCTGAGGTCCGTCAGCAATTCTCGATAAATATGGGGCCAGAAACTTGGACCGTGAAGCCGAATGTAATGGACAACAGAAGATTATATGATATAACGATTCTATAGATCCACTTTTACAGTCACAGAGGAGTGAGATCTGTCTGTTGGAGAGTCTGTTACCCAACACGTTTGATGGGAAAACATTGAATCTAGCCTTTATAAAGGCATACTGTGTATGGTGATTGTGTACAAGAGGGCTTTTCAGACAATCAAGGTAGGTTCACTAAGTGCATATAGAAGTGGAACAAACAGCCCCATCCCTGAAGGCTAGCATTTATTTGCTTAACCTACAGACTGCAAAAAGCAGAATCCCTAACCCTGCAAACAAGCCTGTAAGTCTGCACATACAGTCAGGCCTTATGAACAAACAAGAATCCTTATTACCTTCTCTTTTCAGAGAGTCTATTTCTAATATGGCAATTTGGCTTGTTCCAGCCCTGGGTCCTCCATTTGCCTGCATAAAATATTATAATTTAGCATAGATTAGAGCAGAAGTTATTAGGGACACAGCATGAAAGGAAGTGCGGTAATGGATAGGAAAGTAGACCAAGTAATTCCGAACAAGCCAATAAAACTAAAAATTGCTTTCATTATGGCAGAAAGCAGACATATTTTACAGTCTCCTCTAATTCATTTGCCCAAAGCATTTGAGGCACTGGTGGTGATTTTAAATCTACCGGCCCTGAGATCACTGAGGATTATCAAGTGATTATATCCTGGTGGCCCTATGTGAGGGAAAATCTGCTCTTGTCTAAAGGGGAGAATTGGAATCTCCTTCCAATTCTCAGAGATGCTTCCTTTCTCAGTTACTGGTGCTTCATGTTCATCATAGATACTTGGATTGATCTGTCCAAAAATACTTTACAAATAACACACCTAGCGCAAGCTCTCTGTCCAGTAAAAGCGTTTTTTTGCAATTGTGCCCACTGGAACCAAACACTTCCCATCATAAAGTCTTTGAGCTTTTAAGCCAATAAGTCACAGATGAAAAGAGGAACAACAGCAACCTCGCCATTTCAGAAAATTACACTAAAGCTATTTAATTTGAATCACTGCCAAGGTGGAACTCAAATGCATTTGCGATCAAAATAGATTCAGAGCAAACTCTTAATAGACATGGAAAATTCCCATCGGTTCAAGGTAGCATTTGTAGGCCAGAGTCGGAGGAGGCGTGGCTGGCTGGCTTCACATTGGAGAGCAGCAGCCAAGCCACCTCAGCACAGAGGACCAAGCATGCATTAAAGGGATGGCAAATCAATGAAGATTGATAATAGTGGGGGGGGGGGGAGGAGAAGAAGGGAACAAGGTGATTTGATGCCGTGCCAGATTAATCATGGCACAAATGGACCATCTCCCACAGTGATGCTGGCTGAAGGGAAATGTTCCAGAAGATCACTCTCGGTTAAAAACAGAACAGTGATTAGCAAACATTTTTTAAAAAATAAATGTTCAGCAAACACGTTTCTCTGTATGTAACCATTTCGAGAGCGGTAGCGATGTTGGTCAGTTGCAGCTAAAGCAATGAAGTGATTTGTTGACACCATTAACAAACTTTATTGCAGATGTCCCTGGATGCTTATGCCATAATAACATGTCTTAGAACATCCATATAAGAACATAAGAAGAGCCTGCTGGATCAGGTCAAGGGCCTACCGGACCCAGGATCCTGTTCTCACAGTGGCCAATCAGATGCCTGTGGGAAGCCCACAAGCCATGTTAGTCTTTAAGGTGTCATAAGACTCTTTGACGGTTCCACCTCTCTGAATTATTCTCACCATTCCTTTATGTAATGGTAAAGGGACCCCTGACCATTAGGTCCAGTCGTGGCCGACTCTGGGGTTGTGGCGCTCATCTCGCTTTATTGGCCGAGGGTGGCCAGCATGACTAAGCCGCTTCTGGGGAACCAGAGCAGCGCACGGAAATGCCGTTTACCTTCCTGCCGGAGCGGTACCTATTTATCTACTTGCACTTTGACATGCTTTTGAACTGCTAGGTTGGCAGGAACAGGGACCGAGCAACGGGAGCTCATCCCGTCATGGATTCGAACCGCCAACCTTCTGATCGGCAAGTCCTAGGCTCTGTGGTTTAACCCACAGCACCATCCGCATCCCTTATTCCTTTATGTAGCACAGGGATATTGGCTTCCTCAATTCAACTACCCAACCACACTGATTCGCAAAACAGAAGAAGAGGGAGAAATAATAAGATTAAACGTATGTATGGGGAGGATTAGTTATGAGTGTAAGAAACTGTTGGTTTAGCATAGAGGAATGCTGGGATGCCAACATGAATAAAATATTGGGGGTGGGGCACATAATCAATCACAAAAACATGGCACATGAACACCACTTGAATGGCAAAACCCCTTGGGGGGGGACCTCAAATATTTCATGAGGGGGTGAAGGGACCTCGACCCCTAGGAGTTGGCTCCAATGGAGGGATGTGTCAGATCCTCAAACTCTATGGGGAGCACAAGGCAGGGTGGAAGATGGCAAAACTCAGTATAGATCACTGTATCGAGAGGAAGGCTGTCCCCTGTGGGCCTAACTTTACAAAACACTTTTGTTCAAAATGAAGACATTCAGTATGCTTATGAACTTGCCCTCTCACATGTCGAAGCTGGATTTGGGTCCGGCACCAGCCCCATCACAGCCTGCTCAGATTCCTATCAGACTGGCAGGCTGCCATTGCTAATTAGTGAGTGAAGGGGCAAGGAGGAAGAGGGATAAACTTTACAGTGCCGTGTTGACCACACATCCAAGTCACTGGATCCAACAGCCAAGGGGGGAAAGCCAGTATTCCAATCAAATCATCAGAAGTCACTACACAGATTCAACACATGTGTTTCATGGCTTGGCTGTCCCAGTTCCCCATAACTGTTCAGCCTCTGGGATGTGCACAAACTCTCTTCTTTTTCCCCATCACCCACCATGACTTAGCAATGGCAGCCCTGCTACCAGTAGTCAACCCATATGCAGAGACTGTAGCCATGTAGATCTTGTGCCTGATGTGAGAGTAGCCTATTCAGGAGCATCGTTCATAGGATTCTGGTTAGCTTAACATCTGTCCCAAGAAAACTGGTAGAAAGCATTGTTCAAGATAAAATAACCAGTGTTATATAAAGCACAGACAAAAACTGCATGCTGTTCCCATTTGTTTTGTTGCTCTCACCCACACTTACAAACAACCTCACAAAATTTACACTTCTGGAATTTCACTTCAGTTTTCACCCACTTTACTTTCCCACAGAGATGCAGGAGGCATCTAAAGGAGATATAACAGGAAAAACAGACCTTTGCAGTCTTCATTATCACTTGGATAGCAAACTTGGGAAACAGATTTGCAAATGAATTAATTTGCTGGTTTAGAAGCGGTCCCACGAGGCAGCGTCAGGGCCTCACAAGAAATAAATCACTGTCAGGATTTAATTTAGCAAGCAACGAGTCAGCCATTTCGTATCAACCATCTTGAAATCAGCCTACTGTCAGTGATTCGTTACTAAGCTGCTGCACCGTTTTGTTTTAAAAACAACAACAAAAGTAATTGGTAAAGGATACTGTAGACGTCCATAGGTGACACAGCCAGCATCTGCCAAGGTGCTCCATTTTCAGGGTGAATGCTAAATAAAATCTAAGGGCACATTAAAAGGTTATGTGGGAAACTGCCGAACTGTTAAACAAACTGCCTCTAAAAATGTTAAGACCTGCAAAATGGAGTTGTTGCTTTTAATATAAGCTCCTAAAGTCAGGGTCCTGTTGCTTAGCCTTACATCCCAAACTTACAAGATTGTATCCAATACTCAGAGAAGACCTATTGAAATAAATAGATAGAACTAACTTGGGCCTGTTAATTTCACTGGGTCTATTCTGAATAGAAGTACAACCCATACATACCAAATTGGCATATGAATGAAGAAAGATTCCACACATTGAAAATTTATCTTAACTTACACATCTAATAAAGTATCAGTTGAATCTAGCAGTTCAGTCTTTTGAAATGCATTTTAAATTAATCAGTTGTACTGTCCTGTACCAGGGATTCAGCTATACAGCTGCAAATAAAACGTTTTAAGTGTGTTGTAAAGCTCAATATACAAATGTGACACTAGATGGCGAAGTGAGCGACGGCAAATTCAATGTATTTTTAAAAACTTTTTTAAAAAAATAATTTTCGCAACAGGTTTTTTTATATGTGTGTGTATATTCAACCCAAGTCACCATAGGTTTACCCTTGCTGGATGTTTCAGCCTAATTTAGCTTGTCATCCCTATCCCCTAGTCCAAACCAGATGTTTGGAAAGATATAAATTAGGGGGAAAGAGCTAAAAGGATGTTTCAGACCAGGGTTAACCAACACAGTGCCCTCCAGATGATGTTGGACTACAATTCCCATGATCCCTCATTGTTGGTCATCTTGGCTGGGGGGAGGGGAATTGGAGTTCAACAACATCTGGAGGGCATCACATTTGGTACCTCCATTTTAGGTTGTCTGCCTTTAGGGGAATTGAGACATCCAATTCTTCTGTGTGGTTAAACTTAACTTGCATTGGTTCAGAGAGATCTGAAAGCCAAGGGGAAAGGGCACTGCATTGGTAAAGGAACACTTATCCAGCATCAACTGGGAGTGTGAAGAACAGATGGGCATGCTCCTAGGTTTCATATGACATGGTATGTCCTATTTAAAATCATGGTCCTACTTCCAATGTTCAGGATGAGTGCAGATGCCTTTGAATAGCCAAAACAGCCCCAACCATGCACAAAAGAGAACATTTACAGGCTTGGGGAAGCCCCAAATTTTGCAGATGGGGGGGGAGAACCCTAAGGAGAAACCCAAGCACAGACCAATGAGAACTGAGCATGCCCAGTACCCATGGAATGTTGACTGACTAGGGCAGGGAAGAATGGAAGAGTGGGTGGAAAGGGGGAATTGAATGGAATATCACAGAGATGGGCACTGCTGACTGACTATAGCAAGAGCACACTGCAACGTTTTTGCTGTATGTCCCATTGTATTATCAGATTCAACTTTGGTAAGTACCACCAAATTACTTTGAAATTTTGGAAACCCAGTACTTACAGAGCATACAACTACAAAGATGAAAAGCCCAGAAACTTTTAGGAATCTTAAACAGCATCTGAAAAAAGAAGAGAAGAAACAATAGAGAAGAGTTTCACAGAGACAGAATACGAGATGCGGGTATTATTCTATTAATCACAAACTTGTAAGGCCAGCAGACAGAGTTTAGGTCATACAAAGGATTCTTTGGGGAAAGCAATGTGTTTTAAATGTGCAGCCATATATTAAAATTACATGCAACAGTTCTTTTGGTTATAGAATTGCTTGCCTTCACTTTATGTCAAGGTTCCCTCTCATATATTTAAGCATCTGCTTTTATTATAATTGTATGGGGTTTGTTTCCACATTTAAAGTATTTATTTTACAAATTTCATTATGTGAACTACAACTGCATGCAGTATATTAAATACAAGGCTGACTTAATCTTTTCAAAATAAGATTAAAATTATGGTTACTAAAAGAGGCACCCAAAATGACAATAAAAGCTAGGAACCATTACATTAATCCTTTAAAAGTCCAGAAGCACTTGTCCTTAAACAACTAAGTCATCTTGGCAAATTGACACAATGCCATGCAGAGCTCACACTGGGAGAGGGGAATGCAATTTTATTAATAAACTGTAGCACTTAGAGCATTTTTCCCCCAACAACAACCACCACCCTTTGGTGCTTAGACTTTTATGGATTCGGTGCTTTTAACAGCTTAGCAAACTAGCCATGGTCAGACCTTGACTTGCAAACATTTGCTGTCCCCATGACCTTCACAGCAATTCTAATCGGACATAGCATTGCAATCCTGTGACAAAAGCTAGGGAAATTTTAAAAGCCAACGGAGCATCTGCAGTTTAAGTGAGATGCGAATAAAGGGGTCGCACATCAACATTTTTTTATTTCCAAGTTAAGTGCAAGTTGGGAACTTGCATGACTCTCCACAACAGGACGTCCAACCGCAGAAAGTGTCGCTTCTTCAGACCTCCACAGGGAAATGTGGAGGCAAGCAGGCAGAGTTCTCGTCTGTTATAAATAAACTTGGCCAGCTTTATTCAAAGTATTCCACTGCAGGATGAAGTCAATATACAGTTTTCCATATTTCTAGCACCAACTTGTGTCCTGCTTTGGAATACGCTAGCCAGCTTTTCTATTGAAATTGCATGTATGCCCCTGCAAAAATAAACAAATGGTAAGCTAAAAGAACAGTACAGTAGTACCTTGGGTTAAGAACTTAATTCGTTCTGGAGGTCCATTCTTAACCTGAAACTGTTCTTAACCTGAGGTACCACTTTAGCTAATGGGGCCTCCCACTGCCGCTGCGCCGCCGCCGCGCGATTTCTGTTCTCATCCTGAAGCAAAGTTCTTGACCTGAGGTACTATTTCTGGGTTAAGAGTCTGTAACCTGAAGCATATGTAACCTGAAGCGTCTGTAACCCAAGGTACCACTGTAAAGAATGTAGTGGTGCAAGCCCTAAACTTCTAAATTGACTTTTTTTGCCTTTGGTAGCATTACCATGTAGCCAAATCTGATCATCTGTGCAGTATTGTGACATCATCACATTCATCATGCAATTCCTGATTGGCTGGGATTGCTTTAGGAAGGATTGGGAAAAACCCTAACCTAAAAGTCTAAAGAAGGAAAAGGGGAAAAGCCAAGATGATTGGAGGGGGGCACTAAGGTGTCAATTTTTGTCTGAACTGGCTCTAAATTTTATAACCTTGAAATTATATGATATAGATAAGCCAGCATTTCTTTTTTTTTTTAATGTATTGGATCATCATGCATAATGTACCATGTAAAGTTCCATTTATCACATACATGCCAGCATTTTCTAAACAATTAGTTTAGAAACAAGGTTCAAAACAAAATGCTTCACTTTAGGTCAGGAATGAATTTCTTATCTGTGATGCTTACTGTAACGGCCTTGAAGATACAAAATTATTGTCGCTATGCGATCATCCTAGCAAGCGGTATTATTGACAATACTTAAACTCCTTAAAAGTCTTTCCTTACTCTTCCAGGGATAGGAATAAAACAAGTGACTTGCAGATAAATAAATATCTATGTTGACTAGGCAGGTTGTTTAAGCAGCAAAGAATGTTCCAAGGTTCATTTTAACAAAATGGAATGATGCATTAAGCATGAGCAGAGAGACTTCTGGGATCATAATAGCAAATCTATTTTTCTCTAATATCCATAGCAGAACTTTTAAGAGGTTTGGGGCTGACATTTCTTTCTGCTCCTGAAAGTACTACTTTAGACCTCAAAATCTGAGCCAGCAAGATATTAAATTTGCAGGAGAGATATGAACAGATGTCCAAGTCACCCTTATCTTTGCACACCAACCAATACATGTTTCCCCATCTTTTCTTTTCCCATTTGTATGGGTGTAGTTCTCCTGAGCCTGCTATAACAGGTAGGAATCGTTCCCTTGCCCTTCCCATTGAACTGTTCTCCGCAGAAAAACACATGGCTGCTCATCTGAGGTGTTTGGACTCAGGCATTCACTCTGCTTGCTCTGCCCCTTCAAGGCCTCTGATCTCTAGCTAATATTCTTGTTCTTTAGGCCTTCAGCATGCATGGCTCAGAGCACTCAATCGAGTTTTGCAGATTTAGGCCATCTCAGCAACTGGCAGCCCTAGTATGTTTATTCAATAATACGGGATCGAAAATATTTTGGGGAGCAATTTGTCAGGAGCACCTTTCTGCTGCGGCATAAAGGAAACAATGCTGGTGTAGCTGCCAACTGCTCTATGTAACTAGGGCAATTGCATCTCACTGTGCTTACACAGCAATGATACAGAACAAGGAAATAGCCTGCTGCTTCCAATGCATTCATATATCCATAATGAAAATAGAAAAGCGAAGCTTAAGAAGGAAAGGTACCAAGACACACAAATATTGGGCACAATACATATCATTAGCAGATACTAAGGGTTTTAATCTTCCTTCTTGATAACTGGGCTAGTGTGTGTGTGTGTGTGTGTGTGTGTGTGTATCAGCAATTAACTAAATTAAATATTAGCTGCTGCATTTATTATATCTGAATGGAGTATGGACTGTGTTCCGGTTAGTTCATCAGATGTGGTAGAGTGGCTCTGTGGGTTAAACCACAGAACCTAGGACTTGCTGATCAGAAGGTCGGCAGTTCGAATCCCCGTGACGGGGTGAGCTCCCATTGCTCGGTCTCTGCTCCTGCCAACCTAGCAGTTTGAAAGCACATCAAAGTAGATAAATAGGTACCGCTCTGGCGGGAAGGTAAACGGCGTTTCCGTGCACTGCTCTGGTTCGCCAGAAGCGGCATAGTCATGCTGGCCACATGACCCGGAAGCTGTACGCCGGCTCCCTCGGCCAATAAAGCGAGATGAGTGCCGCAACTCCAGAGTCGGTCACGACTGGACCTAATTTTCAGGGGTCCCTTTACCTTTACCACTCTTACTGCTCAGATTAAAAATGAGGGGGTGTATTGTTTGGAACCATCCCACTATATCAAGGATGGGAAGTCTGTGGCTTTCTGAAGTGTAGGTGGGTTCTCACGCGGCAAGACATGGTGATAACAGGAAGAACCTTTATTGAACTACATAACTGGGAAACAGGGGCAAAGCAACTGCTTATATACATTCCTGAAAGCCTGGGTCACTCCCCACTCCCAACGTGATTGGCTGTGAATCACGACTCAAGAGTTCAAGGGCCAACGGCAGAGGCCCAAATCCTGAAATGTTCTGTGATTAGACATCATGTATCGAATCAGGACACAGGAGCTCAGAATCTTTAGTCCAAACTCAAGCTCAGGCAAACACAGACCACTGAATGCACTTTCCAAATGCTGTTGGACTCCATGGATTGTATGTATCCAATAGGGAGTGAGCAGCATTCCACCTCCCCTTGTCTCCATGCACAACCACCACTACCCAAATCTGCTCCAAAGGGTCCCCCAACCACCTGGAGCAGATTTTTAGTGGGGGCAGCAGAGAAGAGGAGAGCAGGGCAAAGTTCTGTTGAGAGAACAGGAGCCTGTTATGCAAGCAGAAAGCCAGCATTGGACACAACCCCATCTCTCACCAGACTCAGCCATCATGGTCAATGGTCAAGGATGATGGAAGCTCCAATTACATCTGGAAGAACACAGCCCCCCCGCCCCCATCTCTGAACTAGATGCTCGAAAACCTCCTACTTCAAATGGCTGTTCACTTTGTCTTACACATGTATCTCCTCGCTTCATGAGTTATAGATGCTTTTGTGCAAGAAAGCTAAGAAGGTGAGTTTTAAACAGAAGCATAAAGTGACAGATCACAAGATGAAATACAGACAGCACTACTTCCAAACATGAAAATCTGCAGTGAACCAGGTTTTCTAGTCACATAAACTATCATGGCTTAGAAGTGATTGCCTGCTTAGCCTCTACTTTTGCATGGACCTATAAATCTGAGCAGATTTTATCATCAGTTTCATTGGTGCTGTATCCTTGAAATCAATGGCAAGATATGACACAAAAATATGGAGTGTTATTTTACTCATTTGTTGAAACCGGGGGGGGGGGGATCCATTCCTTGGCAATTTCCCTTAGCCATCAATACTGGCAAAACAAAACAAAAGGTTTGGCTCATACCTCATCTTGGTTAAATTGAATTTGACGTGGAAGTTGTCCAACATTTCACATTTCTCTGAGGAGGAAGCTGATCTGGACAAGCTGGGCATTTCACTTCCCAGATGGGACCTTTGCTCAAACTCAGCAGAGCTGTTTTCCCAAGAGTCATCATCTGTGGTGAAATCTGTGTTATGAACAGCCATGCATCTTAACCTGAAAAACACCATTGACAAATATCAACACACACCATAGGCTCTACTGTTCCAAGATTCCATGCCATTGGTAGGATGTGAATCCTGAGACATCGAGCAACAGCAAAAAGCTGATCTCCTACCCACCCATTTTCTTCTGGGGAAACTTTCAGCAGAGGCGTCCTCTCCGTAAAGCAATTATCTTTGGATCTTGTGCTGAAGAATTTGGGCAAAGAGAAGTGATACCTAAAAAAACCACAAGTAGTTAATTTCAATTGTAATCACCTCCACATAGCTGTACAAATGGGGGTTTTTTTTAACCATTGCTTGTTGTTAGTGAGCAGAGAACTTAACCATGAGTCCTGGTTTAGATGACACATAAGAATAGGGAAAACATTTGGTTCGCAGTGAAAGGTAAACCTATAATTGTTACTGTCTGAAACAATGCATGAAACCGAAACACAGCCATCATTCAAAATGCACAGTTCTCTTAATTTTGCAGTGCAAGTTCTCCAGGCAAGCAATGTGTACAAAAATGTATACAGTAGAATAATGTGTGGCTAGAAATGAATACACATGGGGAAATTGCTTTGCACCAAAATGCTGATAAATTTTCCAGAGAACCATTTTTTTTAAAAAAAAAAATGGCAAACTGATGCGAAAATGTAGAGGGCTGAACTTATGTTTGGAAAAAATGAGGAACTAGAATTGTCAGATTTTGCCACACCTAAAAGCATACGAACCCAAATCTTAGCCCAACTCATTGCAGAGCAGCAGCCAAAAGGACTGGGGAAAAGTAGTGAGCCCACACATTCCTGCAGTCCCAGTAAGCCATAGCTTGGTTTACTAAGTTGTGCAAACCAGGCCGTTGACCAATTAGATGCTAGACAAAGTTAATGAATTCACCTAAGGTGTGTGTTACAGCAGGCAAGCAAAATCATCTCCATTGTTCACTTTGGAACTTCTCCGGATGTTAAGTCACTTAAAGAGCACACCCCCCAGACGATTATTGTCCTCAGGTACAAGGAGGATGACTCGGATGAAATCAGAGGTCAATGTCATAAGAGCTTCCCAGCAGATCAAGGTTCAAAATATTTGGACGCAGAAACACATTAACTATGCAGAGCCCAGCTCATTATTGGACCTAACTGAATTCTTATTATACGTGAAACTAGTCTTTCTTGCAGGCGTTCAGATGCTACAGAAAGCCACCCACTGCACTGAGATATTCTCATAAAATTACCAGACATAGTTTTAAATACCTGCTTGTTCATTTCTGTTGAAATGAGGGAACTATTGGTGCAGACACAACACTAGAGTTGTCCAGTCACACACTGGAGAACAAGGGCGTAGCTTTTAATTTCCCAGTACAGTGAAAAGACAAGGCAGTAGCAGCTCATTCTGTCCCCAGACTTCTCCCTTACCTGCTGTGTTGCACACCTGGAATCCTGTTCACTGACAGGAGAAGAGACAATGCACAAAAGAATCACAAAAGGGAGCAGCATTAGCCTTTGTATCCTACTGCATCAGGGAATTTCAAGGAATGCGTGCTAGGGGTGTGAATTGATCAGAAAATACAGCATAGGTGCCAACTCCCATGGGGCCCAAGCACCCACAAATTTTGGTGCCAGGGCCACGCACGCTGCATGGCACCCACAGCCCCAGGCACTCACTGTTGTGGGGCCAGGTTGGCACTCCTGTACGGACCCAAATTTGGCACTTTGCAAAGCAGCTTGCCTAGGTCAAAGGTGCTACAAAGGCTATCTGATTTGACTCACCCACCTCTTCATTTCCCCTCCACACATTCACTATTGGGAAATTTTAGCATTTAGGGTTACAGCTTTTCCCGCTTTTGATAGAAGTATGCAGAGGGGAGGGATAGTGGCTGAAAAGAAGTGGCGAAAGAAAGAGATGGAGGAGAAGGGAGGAAAGAGGGGTAATTGAAGGGTAAGTGTGAGATGGAGGGAACAAGGAATTACCGTATTTTTCGCTCCATAGGACGCACCTGACCAAAAGACGCACCAAGTTTTTAGAGCAGGAAAACAAGGGGGGGAAATCTGACTCAAATGTTGTACTAAACTATTTAAAACAGCAAAGTGGGTGGCTCCTGTCCACTTTGCTGCTTTAAAGCGAGCCACGGTATATAATGAAGAGAATGGGAAAAGGAAAGACATTCCATTACAATGTAGCTGTTTTCATTATCACTGGGAAGTCAATATTGGCAGCGATCACATAAAATAAAATTTGAGCATTTTACTGTTATTAATCAAGAATGTTAATAATCAGGGAGAGAAACCAGGGCTGTGCAAATGAGAAGTGCTTGGAGTATGGAGGAACAGCAAAGAGATCAAATGATGGTGCTCCAGTTCCTAAATCTGTGAAGTTTTCTCAAAACAGGCATGGTTGTTTTAAAAGGAAAATTCAAAATGGAGTGACTGAGCAAAGAACAGAGTAGGAAAAGAGGGCCGATAAATAGCTTCCATTCAATAACAAGAGAACACAATGTTTTTGTTTGGTATAGGTGGACTGTACTTGTAAGAATTTGTATAATGAATTATAGATTTGGAGTGGAATATCAGTGCCTCCTTTCAGCAATAAAGATTAGCTGCTAGGAACATGGTCCACACACAAACACACAGGATGTCTGGTTATAGTTGTGCAGTTTGAACTGTTACCGAGCGAGATGCCTGCTCGGTTTTAGCTGAGCTCACTATTACTGGTTTGTGGAGATGCTTTGCATGTACCGTATTTTTTGCACCATAACACTCACTTTTTTCCTCCTAAAAAGTAAGGGGAAATGTCTGTGCGTGTTATGGAGAGAATGCCTACGGGTGGCATGCCTACAGATTTTCCTCCTCTAAAAACTACGTGCGTGTTATGGTCGGGTGCGTGTTATAGAGTGAAAAATACGCTATTTATGACTATTTCTGCAAAACTGCTACTTGAAGAAATCCCCAAACTTAATATTTTTAAACTTCAAATGGAGAACAGAATCCAGTTAGGCAATCAAGCCTTTGCAGTTGAATTAGGAGGCACTGAGAGACGGCAATTTGCTGCTCTCCACCCCCACTGAGCATCCCAGGAGCGCAGGGCAAAGGCGCACAGCCTTCCCACTGCTTGCAAACCTTGTCAGGGGAAAGCAGAGGCTGTAGGTGTGGCTCCTCCCTCCACCCCCGAAGAGCACCCCAGGAGCCTTCCTGCTGCCTGCAAACCTTGTCGGGGCTTCAGGGGAAAGCAGAGGCTGTAGGCAGAGCAGCGTGACTCCTCCCCCACCCCAAAGAGCACCCCAGAAGCGCACAGCCTTCCCACTGCTTGCAAACCTTGTCGGGGCTTCAGGGAAAAGTGGAGGCTGCCGGCAGAGCAGCGTGGCTCCTCCCCCCACCCTCAAAGAGCACCCCAGGAGCGTGGGGCAACAGTGATTTGGCTCCATAGACCACACATTTGCTCCATAAGACACACAGACATTTTCCCTTACTTTTTAGGAGGGGAAAAGTGCGTCTTATGGAGCGAAAAATACGGTAAATGGAGCTAAGGGAAGTTGAGGAAGAGAAAAGAGAGGAGACAGGAAAGGTAACGAGGGGGAGGGCAGTCGGAGGATGCTGTGCCCCCTGGCAACCCTAGAAATAGACCCCCTCCTACTTGGTCCACTGCTGCTGCAGGACCTGCAGAAGTAACACTAATAATGATCATTATTAGCATTAATATAGAGTTAATGAATACAAGCAAAAGATAAATGTCTACCTAGGGATAAACTGCCCCCTTACTTTTTTGGTACACCCCCCACACTTTTACTGAAGGTGGGCTTTATTTATACATTTTTAAAATGACAAAAAATGGAGATAATATCTCACCCGGTGCTTCCTATCTGTTGCTTTAAACTAAGCTGAAAACCCATTTCATTCAGCTGGTAAAGGTAAAGGACCCCTGGACAGTTAAGTCCAGTCAGAGGCGACTATGGGGTTGCGGTTTCAGGCTGAGGGACCTATTCAGCTGGACAAACATGCAAAACATATGAATTCAATTCTAGATGCTTTACTGAATTTGTAATATATTTACCATAAAATATATTTTAAAATAATATATATATATTTAAAAAACACCAGAAAATGTGTTCAAAACTTGGTTTCAGAATATTGATCCATCTGAAGACAATTTTGATCATTGGCTTGCTGAAATTAAGTAATCACCATCAGCCCTTGGTCTTGGAGAGCAGTGAAGAAGAGACTTTCCAGACTCTGCAGGGTGGGATAATGCTTTTCTTGCTTCTCCGTGTTAACATTAGCTACATGAAGCAATCTATTATTCTCCTTGGAAGAGGGGGCAAGTAGATGACTTGGTTGTTTTGTTGCTCGTCCAGTTGCGCCAGGTGTGTTTTCAAGCCCTCCTCCTCCAAATGAATCATTTGAAAAGACCTTAATGGAGCTTGCATTACAACTCCTAATATATGAAAACCATCTGATCATGAGCTGGTCATTTGCAGGCCTTATAAATTAATCCAGCATTCTTCACATGTCAGAACTCAGAAACTGCCTGAGCGTGAACAAAAACCCTAAACACAACCTCAGCACAGAGTCTGCTCCTCGGCTTTATAACATTACCTTTTAAAATGCTTATTCAACAAACTGGTTCAAGGATTCTGACAGAACATTAATCATATTCAGAGCCTTTGTTCCCTGGGAGATGGAGCCAGAGACCTTTCGCTACACTCAGAATCGCTAGGGCTGTTGTTTGGACTGAGGGGATGGGGTAAGATTCAAGTGCCTAGGAAACACAAGCCTTGATAAAGCTCACTGACAATGTGCACAGTGTTCTGTTGACTTGAAGGGCAGCTGGATGAAACTAGAAAGCAGAAAGGAAATTCAAGAGGACTGGAAATCTTCAAAACTTCCCCACTCCATTTTAGATGAATCCTGCAGGCAGCATGAGAACCTTATCCTACATCGGGGGTCGTGTTAAAGCTACGCAGACCAAATGGGAGACCAGGAACTTTGTCTCTCAGTCTTGGGAGTGGGGAGGGTTCCCAGCCTCTGGCAGGACCCGAAACTTTGTGTGAAGACAACTATGTATTGTCTTATGCTTCGGCTTCTTTGGGAAGTTGCTGCTGTGATCATCTTTCCAGTTCTCTGGGCAGTGAGGAGGGAGGGGAGGTCTTGTCTTCTGTAGGAACTCAAACCAGCAATCTCGGGAGCATGTTTCTGGGTTGCATGTGTGCTCTTGCAGACATCCACAATGAGTAGCTGTCCACT